ACATAAATTGTTATTTAATAATGATGATGAAATGTGTGGTTTAACGTCCCAAAACCACCATATGAATATGAAAGACGCCGTAGTGGAGGGGTTCAGAAATTTCGACCACCTGGGGTTCTTTAACGTGCACCCAAATCTGAGTACACGGGCCTACAGCATTTCCGCCTCCAGTTATTTGACTTTAGTGCCCCTTTAAAGGGGCCCTGAAGCACTTTTTCAAGTAACCACGGAAAGTATACACTAAAATAGCTTATTGCCTCACGAATTCCACACCGCAAAAATTTTATATAATCCATTCAGTAAGAGTGGAGTTACAAAGATTTGTCGCACACTGCAATCCCATTCTCTCTTCTCTCGTTTCGACAAAAGTGCTGGAAGTTAAGCAGGGGGTGGGGGGTGATGGCATGGGCAAAGAAAATGCGTCACGCTGCTGTTGATAATATTGTCGTTTTAGGCGTTGTCATACAGTGAGCTTTCACTCCGACATAAATTGTTATTTAATAATGATGATGAAATTTGGGGTTTAACGTCCCGAAACCACCATATGAATATGAAAGACGCCGTAGTGGAGGGGTTCAGAAATTTCGACCACCTGGGGTTCTTTAACGTGCACCCAAATCTGAGTACACGGGCCTACAGCATTTTCGCCTCCAGTTATTGGACTTTAGTGCCCCTTTAAAGGGGCCCTGAAGCACTTTTTCAAGTAACCACGGAAAGTATTCACTAAAAGAGCTTATTGCCTCACGAATTCCACACCGCAAAAATTTTAATTATCCATTCAGTAAGAGTGGAGTTACAAAGATTTGTCGCACACTGCAATCCCATTCTCTCTTCTCTCGTTTCGACAAAAGCGCTGGAAGTTAAGCGGGGGTGGGGGGGTGATGGCATGGGCAAAGAAAATGCGTCACGCGCGCCTCGAGACCTTCTGCACTTTTTTTTTTCTTTCTTCCAGTGCCCCGGTTTTGCGGTGTTATCGTGCGCGTACGCGTGGACAGGTCGCGGCGATCTCAGTTACGACCGAGCACGCCATTGATAGAAAGTCTTCTACGAGTGATTTTTGTAGCTTTCTCCGCAATTTGTCGTGTGATGAGAAAGCAATTTTTTGCCGACTTTAGCTCGAGCCTAGCCGACCAGAAATGGGCAATCCAGCAAGCCCTCGATGCGGCTAGGCCTCTCAGTCCCAACGTGGGAGCCCTGAGCACGTTCGCTTGCTTCTGGCAGGACATTAATAAATGTTATTTCATCCGTCCATCCATCCGTCATTTGTCGTGAGAAGAGAAAGCAATTTTTAGCCGACTTTATAGTTAATTGTGAATCGCAGGCCGCGTGCTCCACTATACTATTTGCTCGCGAGTTCTCGGGAACCTCTACTACCGATCGGGGGCGTTTTTTGGCAATACTCAAAAAAGTGTTGCAGGGCCCCTTCCAGGCGGTTCTGGCTGCTTACGCCAGGAATGCTTTTATTTTTTTCTGTGGGGCACACGTTCAAAGCACTGGCATCGCTCCATTCTTCACAGAGCGTTGGTCCTCATATTCGAAAACAGCGCGTTCAGTATAACCGAAGCTTGTGCCGGGAACGGGCGCATGCGGCGGTGCGCCCGTTCCAGGCGGTCGTGCTTGGGCCATGGCCTTCGAGATTAGCTGGCGGCGCAACAGGTTATCTCGGAGGCCACGCTCAAGCGCACGTAGTTCCAGGCACGCCCTATGGTGGGGCGCTAGTTTACAGTATTTAGGCGGGCGTTATGAACTGACGCGAAATTGTTTTAAATTAACGGCGCTAGCGCTAATTATACGATGCGTGATAGCATTCGCGGTTCAATTTCGGCTTTAACTGACGCAAAGCTACAACTTGCACTAAAAAAAAGAAAGGTTGCAAACAAAACTTTTGCTGTCAGGAGTTCACATCACCTTTCATGAGGGTGCCAGGAGCTCTTTTGCCACAATAACATTACAGTACACAACAACCGTGGTTTGTGCGGCCTGCGCCACTTTCACCAGAATTATTGGACGATTATTTATACGAAACATGCCCGCAACTAAGGGGAGGGGAAGCGGCACTTCGTCCTCCCGGAGATACGTATGAGGGGGTGTTAAACGGAGTACAAATAAAAATGGGTGTTTTTCAAGGCCTTCAACAAGTGCCCCAACTTCACCCCATTCCGAAAAAAATTCCTGGCAACGGGGTTGATACAAAACATGTTTCAATTAGTAGAATTTCACCTGCATATATATGTCATGAACCCTCGATTTCACTACCAGTACTTCTCTGCGCGGGGGGTAATGACTGATGTGATGCGAGAACGTTGGAATACCTGCACGCATCGCTTGTTCTAAAAGGCTCGCTCGAACTACGTCCGGCACTGTGACATCAAGCGATTAAAAAAAAAAAAAAACTCTGCAAGCTAGAAAACTGTACTGCCTCGGGGTTGAACGCAAGCGCACTGCAGTGACGATGGCCCGGGCGAGTCATGTAATGTCATTTTCAACGTCACAGCGCCAGCCTCTTTAGTGGTCGTCTTCTAAGACCATACATAGCCTCGAGGGCCAAGTGTGCCGCAATCACCCCACTTCGCAGCTATTATGCAAGTGACAATAGTAGTCGTGTGTGTTCAAAAAAGTAAAACTATTTTCATGTCTAATACAGTGCAGTAAACAAGGCTATAAAATTACACAGCCATTACTTAGGTATTAAGTATAGTAAGCGAAGTTTTTCTTCCAAAAAACTTCGCTACATCGACGTAATGAGAAAAAATGAAGGCAACACGAAAAAGATATGGCAAATTGTTAAATATGTCACTGGCATGTGTAGCAAAGAGCACATTACACAGGATAACCAAGCATGTGAAGAGGCTGATAACTTTAATGATTAATTTACTAATACTGGTCTTGCAAGTAAACTCCCCCCTCATATGAACAACTTAAATGCACCATTAACGGTTGCTAGTAATTTCAATTTCCACTTATGTGACGCGACAGAGAGACATACAAGGTATTAGGAAGTTACCAGGGAACCAGGCAGTTGGCCATGATGCCGTATCATCAAGAATTTTAAAGGAAAATATTAATGTCTTGTGTAGTCTATTGTGCCGCATATTTAACCATGCATTTTCTTTTCAAATTTATCCTCACATACATGCATTTTCTTTTCGAACTTATCCTCACATACATACCTACAGACTGACAAGATAATACAGTTTACAAATCTGGTGACTGTAATCTTCCGGACAGCTGCAGATAGTCCTGAATAGTACTTTTAATCTGTCCTGAATAGTACTTTAACACCACACTTGAAAAATTCATTTCGTCGCAACTAAGGTGGTTCCATTGTGACCAGAATGTACTTTGTCCCCAGCCATACAGTTTCATTGCTAACAGGTCCACTTCTACTGCCATATCATTGCTTACACAATATATTAATCTCGTGCTACATGAAAACAACCTAGTAGTAGCAGTATTTTTTTTTAACATAAAGAAGGCATTGGATGCTATTAGTCACTCCATTTTACTGGAAAAAATGCATTCTATGGAATTGCAGGCAACTCACTTGACTTCTTTTCCAGCTATTTATTGGCATGCAAGCAAAAGGTAGACATTGGTAACATCAATTCATCTTAGTTATATTGAATGCGAGGTACCACAGGGTTTAGTATTAGGCCCCATATTGTTTTCTCTCTATGTCAATGGTGTTTCTACAGAGCCGCAATCTCTACAGAGGTCAAGGGCATTAATGTACCAGGACGACACCGGTTTAGGTTTTACAAGACGCTCCTTAGCAGCTCTACAAAATGGCATGGTGGCCGATTTGTCAAACATTTCAGAATGGTTTGCCAAGAATTAGCTCATCGTTAACTGTACTAAAACATAGACAGTGTTTCACCCGTACAAGAAACACATTTATACTACATTTTTTAACCTAACAATAAACAGCACTCCTATTCAACAAATTTCTTTTAAATATTTGAGCGTAATATTTGATGAGAATTTACACTGGCACGAGCAAGAACAGAGTGTGTGCGCAGAGGTAGGCAATGCCTGCTATAATCTAATTAAAGCTCACCAACATTTTCCACAAGCCATGCTACGTACACTCTACTTTTAATTGTGTCACTGTCATATGAATTACTGCTTAAAATCGTGGGGTGTAAGTACAAGAGTTATGAACAAATTCAAAAAAGCGTATATTGAAAATCATAAACCAAGGTGAACAAGTAGGTAACATTTTCCATTCGCAATGCATTCTCTCGGCTGTCATGTTGCACCACTACAAGATTGCCGTTTTAATAAATAACAATTGAATTTCACCTTGGCTAGCTGACATTGTTTTGATTCCTACACCCAACACTGCAACATCCTTCTAATGTAAATTTCCATCTGCACAAATGTTACAATATTTATTGAGAAAAAAAACGATAGAACTTAATGGAAGAAAAATATGAACGTAATCCCCCTTGAGATTAAACTTGCAAGTTTTTTCGGCCTAGCATGCAAATAAGTTTTTCTAAAGAGAAAAAATATGCAAGCCTGTGTGTATGTCTGAATTGATTTTCATTGTTTTTCTAATGAGTGTCGTGTACAGTAAGCTAGTTGCAACCTAATAAGTTTGAATGTGTGCAAAAGAAAATGCACACGTGTATTGCCTGTATTTATATAATCGTTTCCGTTTCCCCCTTTAAAGCCGACCAGCACATCCTCTAGACACAATGTATTGGACCAGCCACTAGTCACTTAAGGCTATTAATCCAACAACTCTTTGTATTTTTATTTTTTTGATATAGCTCCCTTGATTTGATTGAACACCGATTTCCCTTAAAGACACTGTTATGAAACGCTACAAACACTAACATGAGGAAAGATGCAGCGAGCAGCAGATTAGTGCTCTAAAAGACTCCTGTTGCTTGATATTTGTGTAGTTTTTTTCAAAGCTATTGTTAAAACATGCATACACTGGTTCATGTGAAGTGACTAACCATTCCAGTTTGTGCAGACAGCACCACCACAGGTATGTGTTTCATCATTTATTTCAGACTAAACCAAACTTCGCTTTGGCCAAAAAAAAAATGAGAATGCTTGCCACCCAGTGATCAACAAAAGAAAAATGAAAAAGTGCTTGCAGGAACAGAAATGTTCTCAAATCAAGTGACACGCATTTGATGATCAGAAACGAGAGCCTAGCAGAGGAGGTTTGCCAAGAAGTCCTCCGGAAGATGAACGATCACTCCGACGATAATCGGCAGGCTTTCTAGGAGGCAGATCACGGGCATAGGCTTTCCCATAGTCATCAGAGTAGTCATGGCTTCTTCTTTCGCCATAACTATCAAGTCCAGGTCTTCTCTCATCCCTTCTGTCAAAGTGGTAAGCCTGCTCCCGGTCGTCAAAGCCTGGTCTTGAATCTCCAAGAAGAGGTGGCCGTCTTGGTGCGTGGTCTTCGTAAGAATCGCGCAGAAGCGGGCCTTTATCGGGCAGCAGAGGAGGCTGGTCATGAAGCAGTGGGCGCTTTTCGAGCAGCGGCAGCACGTCACCAAGCAGTGGCATTCTTTCACTACGTGGCAGCGGAAATTCGTCTCGCATGAAGTCTTCTCGACCTCGACGATCAGAGGCCATCTGTCGCTGGCGGCTCAGTTCCTGGCTTATGTGATGGCTCAGCTGCTGACTGAGCTCCTTACTGAACTCTGGTCTAGACAAATGCTGAGAAAGTTTGCTGATCTCCAACGCCAGGTCTAGTTGAGCCTTTGAAATTTTTTGTGGTGAAGACAAGCCATACGGCCTTGGCTCCCTCGGTTCTGGGGAAGGAGGGTCCAAGAGACCAAAGCCGGCACTTGGTGCTGGCTCTGGTAATACGGGGCTCTTCCAGTGAGGTTGGGCAGAAGGATCTTGCCATCTGCTCTCAGGATGTGGCTCATCGTGGTAGCGCCTGCCACTTGGTGCAAATTCATGTTCAATAAAGGCCTGATGACGTGAACCTCCAAAGCCACCACTGCCAGGCCCTCCTGGAAGAAGTGGGCGTCCTCTTCCAGCCTGAAGTAAACCACAAGCGGGACTCACACTTATGCAACACCTTTACTCATTATCTTCATCACCCCTATTGCAAAGGTCTTGAGGGCAATTCGATATTGCCGTCTATTAAAAGCTGTGCACAACCTACCCATGATGACATTTCTGTCGTTATGAAGAGCTCAATTTTCAACCACTCCAAATTATAATTACCAGGGTTTTACGTTTCAAAACAATAATGAAAGTTATGAAAAAGTGCCCCACTGATATAAACAACATAGATACAAATTAAAGTTCTTTGGCAGAAATTTATTGTCCATGGACAGCAAAAAAGCATGGCTTTGCAAATGTTTAACATATGGGAAAACATACTTTGCTACCACCTTGTCATGCAAAATCAAAGAGATCATTACTGCACTCTAGTACCGACATTCAAAAAGGAAATGAGAAGCGAACATGGCACCACTAAATCTTTGGATTTCCTTAGACAAGTTACAGTGGACTCCGATTAAAGGGGGAGGTGGCATTGAAAAAAAACTTTTATTTGTTGACCTACAGCAATGAAATTTGGCATGCATACTCGTAAGTGTCTAGAATAGGGAAATATGCAGTTTCATCATGATAGCTTCAGTAGTTCTCAAGTTACATAATGCTACACAATCCAATTACATGGTCTGCTCGTGGAAAGCCTAGCGCTGCAACAAAACATGCCAGGAAGCTGCGAATGGTGTTGATCTTTACTCAAAAGAAAGCTACAGGGTATGACACTCTCGGAATTTTTTAATAAGTTCTCTCTTTTTTTTTAGAGATCATCATGGCTGCCGACACACATTGCCAGAAACAATGGCACGGACAAATCATCGTCTAGAAAAATAACAGGGCCACAAAACAGAAATTGAAGATTGCTGTACCCACAAGCAGTGTTCAGAGGTTCAGGAAAAAAAAAAGAATCAAAATCGATCCAGTCATTCTCGTGCTACTCTTTCCATGAGCAATGCACAATGTCCAAAACGCACTTGTGAGAAAAAGCTTGTCGAAGTTTTCGACAGGCTTTTTTCAATGAACTTTTTGTTTCTCGTTGGATATTGATGAAAATTGGCACAGACACTAAGAATAACCTCACAGTGCTTCCATAAAAATTTTGAAGCAATACCACGAATACTTTACTGAGAAACAAATTATTTCTTCATTGAACCATGTGGAGGGGCTGAGCATAATGTCAAAAAAAAAAAAAAAACAGTATTGAGAAAGCTGCGTTTAAAGTTTCAACTTTTCTTTACGTCTCTAAGACACCTAAAAATTGTGATCTCAGGTTTGTCTTGTGATATTTGACTTCTTTTCATGATTTACTCCTTTTCATGAGTTACAAAGAACAAGTATGGATTTACAAACCAAGTTCTTTGTATGAAGGAGTGGTGTGATAGGTATGACAGAAAAGATTGTAATGGAATAAAACCATATACTGAAATTATTACACATACTTTTTTTGTGCTGAAGTTGTAATTAGCATAATTAAGTACTTGATTACAAATATTCACTGAACTTTTTTTTATTTGGAGAAAAGTTTATTGCATCAGAAAAATGGATCACATCCATGACGGCCTATGCCTTCTTTCTAAATAACAAAGTTATGGGCAGAAGACTGGTGGCACGGGAATTTCTAGCAGTATAATTAATGACAGCGAAACGGGCATATAAAAATTCGTGCCCCTGATTCACACATGCTCTTTCGCCGCTCTAGCCGTGAAACGCATCATCATACAGCCGGTCGCGGAAACTAATCTACAGCAATCGTTAACCTCGGAACATTCATAGACGTTCGTGGCGATATCAAGCACGGCTCCAAGCACGTCTGAATCGCATCACAAAAGCTTACTGACAGCACTCCATATGACCGTGGGGTGCGCGGCCGCGTGGACAGTGCAGCCGGCGCGTAATGCACTTGCCGGCGGCGTTCGATGACGATGCGGCATCCGGTGCGGCCACTCGTAGTAATCAGATAGTGCCGCCGCTTACAGCTTCGTTGCTTGCGAAGAAGCACGTCGCCACGAATGCACTAGCGCGTCGTTCCTGCCTGCAGTCGGCGGAGTTGGGGCTTAAGACGACTCCAATGACGCGCGGCGCTCGTAGACCGCGCTGACGCTCGTAGTAACCTGATCGCGCATCCGCTTACTGCTCGTAACTAAAGCGTAGTTATATCTTAAGTGATTATCAAGCTGTGAACACGTCACGAAGTGGCGATTTTCGAGAGCCATGTCCTCGCGACGCACAAGCAGCAGACGACGATCTCCCGGAGCGAGCATCGGGCCAATGGCGAGGCGAGCTGAGGCAACGTGGCGGCCACGGCCAATCAAGGGCCTCAAAACGACCTTCAAACATTTGCTTTTTCCTCGCTTGTTGTTAAAGGGAGGAGCCAGCTGAGGCGGGAAAGTTAAACACGGAGAAATGCTTTTTCCGATGAGCCTAAGAAGCCAGCTCCCGGCCCAAGCATCGCGAAGCTATAATTTTTTGAAAATCACCGTTTTCTCGCCATTTCCAGAAAAATTTTTGCTACCTAGGTGGGTGAAACGAATTTCCGAAGCACTTCTGCGCGGTTTTCAGTGTAGATATTTTGGAACCAGATAGAAAAAGGGTTCCAGAAACTGAAAACTTGAGTTTAAAAAAATCGATTTCTTTGCCATTTTTCGCGATCCCAAAGCCGCAGCCCCCCCTTAAACAAAACTCGGTTAAACAGAAGAGCCGCATAAACGAAACTATGTAGGCATATTTGGTTGGTCTCCTATATATTTAACAATAAAAAGTTTCGGGTAATCGGAACATTTTTCTTAGCCTACATCAGTTAAATAAAACCAAAACGAGCAAAATCCATGAACGGCAAAAGTGGCCATGGCAGCCTAGCAACCATGAAACAATAGCCAAAGCTAGTTTGGACAAGCCAATCCAGAGATTGCACAATTCTGCGCACGCGAAGAAGCAATCGACATCTCAGTCATGAACTTCAGGAGTTGGCCTTGACGGAACCTATAGCTTGAAACTCAAAATGAGGACCTGTGCTCAAGTGGTAATGAGATGGTGTGTGTGATCCCGAGCCTATTGCAGTGGCTGACAGTGCCAGCAAGAGATGCTGTCATCCTGTTGCAGCGCTACTTAGAACACGATGGTGGCACAGAGTTCCTGCCCAGCCTTTCAGCAATGCACTCCTACCACGCGAGAAAGTGCTTGAACAAGGCCAAGCAAAATGTTATCACCTCCTTCTTCCAAGTCAGCAATATTATAAACATTTTTCAACTATAGTAGTATTGTGTACTTCAAAATGTTTCTGTTCAGTCAGCCACAGTTGGTGTTTTTGAAATAAAGCCATATTTCATTCATTTTGTGGGCTTTGCTTAAATGCAACTTCTTATAAATAGAACAAATTTTCTTGGCCTTTTGAGTCTCGGTTAAGGGGAGTCCACTGTATATACAGCTGTGTATGGCGCTACGCCGTTCATAATACCAATCTTGAAGACACTGCAGTCAGATTTCTTGAACCTATCACAAAAGTTTTTTTGCCTAAACCATGCTAATAATTACACAGGTGGTGGAAGTAAGTTCTAAGCACTGCACTTCAGAAACGGGAAGGCTCGTCTTGAAGCTACAGGAGTTGCATCTGTAAAACAAAGCCAACAGGCCTTTGGAGTATTGATACTCAGCTGTGAAATAAGAACTGCCCAGTAGAACAAACCCACGATACAAGGAACCAAAGAAGTCCAAAAATATTCAAAATGAAAAACACTCATCAAAGTATGCCAATTTCTCTAACAGGCGCTTTAGTAATTGCCAATGAGTAAGCCCTGTGGGACGACATCAACGCGCTGCCATCCCAAGATGAAAATTCCGACAGTTCTACTGTTCGACCTTTAATAGTCTCTTATTAACTAGCAACCCCATAGTTTCCTTTATACAAGTTTTTTTTTTTTCTCTTTGGGCAGTAACAGCTTGTTAATTCGACACCCATTAATTTGGAAAAATCTGAAATTTTGGACGTGTTTACAGGTCTTGAATAGCATATGCACTGTTTTATGCCATCAAAATCTCATTAATTCAGTTATATTTGGCTGCAACCAGGTTAATTCAGAAGAGTCTCTGAGCGCACTACGTGTGAGATACCAGAAATGTGCGAGGCAAAGGAGCTAAGGTGGCATTCACGGTTAAATTTAACGACCCGGCACAGTCTGCACCGCCATTGCCATCATAGCAAATAGTACAGTAATATTGTTTCTGGTATATTTCGAATTGGCACATCTCACACAAAGTCTTGAGCTGCGGTCACATAGTGAACAGTCACAAGTGTCGGAAACTGCAGCTTTTAAAATGCTTATATATTTAGTAAGCACAAGATTTACATACTTACCAAGACAATGAAATTGCATTGACATAAGAGGCATTTGTTCATAATTTTCTTGTTACTTTTGATTATTTGGAATTTGGTTAATTCAGACATTTTTTAGGGTGCCATGAAATAAACCTTTTACTGTGTATTCATTCAACAATGACTCTGCGCAAAACAAGTCATCTGTTCACCTTAACATATCTAGCTCAGGTTTCCTATTTTTTCACTTTCAGGCACACGCCCATGATAAGCCCAACAAGTGGGAAAGTTAGTGGATGCTCTACATTTTTTAGTATTAATGTGAAAAAGCACTTACGTAAGGTACACTCTCACGAGGACCACCCACACGCTAGAAATAGTGAGAGAGAGAGAGAGAGAACAGAATCAGTTACAACATTTAAGGCACACTGTATCACCAGTTCAATAAAAGAAGGTCGTACATGATCACTTATTGAAAATTACTGCCAATCAGAGATGATTACAACATGGGCCCATATTCCAATTGGAACAATGCAACCCCAAAATAGTTTAGTAACAGCAAATACATCTGAAGCAAGTACATCTGAAAGAACATCACTGAAATCAGCAAAAAAAAATAATTATAAATAGTATGCAACAATGACATAGGCTACACACACGGCAAGTTTAATGGTTCTACAACAACATGGGGGCTGTTTACACTAGTGGTTCGTACCTGAGCATACTGCAGTTCAGAGCGTTGGCCAACATTAGACCAGAATACTGGTTTTGGTTGCTGCTGACCCTTTTGTACTGCGTAAAGAAAACAAAGCGAGGCCATAAAGCAGTTTTCCTAGTGTAGCTTGTAGAATGGCAGTAGATCACAGAAGTCAAATGAAACTGCAGTTTTGTGTAACTCTATGTCAGTTTTGAAGATGGAACGCTATGCGCTTACTGGATAGATAAGGTTATTCTTGCATGGATTACCAAGCTGAAGAAAGGACGCATAAGGTAACAATAACTAGCCTTCAAAGATAAGTTCATTCATTAGTGTAGCATCACATGTCAATCGCCGAGACAACACTGTTTTGCAATGTTTAACTTTACTTCACTTCAAGTTTTTATTTCTTTCACCTACTTCATTCCATTTGAATTCACACAAAAACCACAGTCAACTATTTTTATGAACCGTTGCTTTCAGAATATATCAGCTGCGAACCTGTGTTGTGTATTGCCTACTTAAGACACTATTATCAGGTTATCTGCATCTTACCTTGTTTTCCAAGGATAGATCTGTTGCCTAGTAACGGAGCCTAAAACATAAAACAAAATAGTGTAAATGGGGGGAGGGCAATTTTAAGGGGGGCACTGCTCTTGAAAAATGGTTTAATTCTCAATTTATTTCTACAAAACTTGGTATGTTAATGTATATTTGTATGCTGATTACAAATATATATACAATTATTTTTCAGAATAATGAATAGTTTCTAAAATGCAGAATATTTATTGTGCCTTTGAAAAGTAAGATTTTTTTTTAATTGAGAGAGCTACTGACAAATTGAGATTTCACCTTCCAAATGTTCAACATAACCTTTCTTTTGAATGGGTTTAGAACATCCATTCTTGTTGCACTGCACACAGTTTGGGTTCCAGATTATTGTGGTATACTTATTTACTTTGCAACTCTCTCAGTTTAGAAAAAAAAAAAACTTCGCTCCATGAAAGCCATAAAATATTTTGTACTTTACAGAATAAATAATTGTATATATAATAGCGCACAAACAAGTCAGCACCAAGTTTTGTCAAAATCAATAAAGACATGATATTTTAAGTGCCATGTTTCAAACATATTTCTTAACAATTGACAATGTGTGACAGGGTACATTATTAGAGAAAAGAGACATAGTATGTGGAGGTGCTGATACCCCATATTAAGTCCATTGCACCTCATGGTGCACACGTGTTTTGCGCATAGGCTGCATTTAGTGTTTACAACCATCAAGCGGTTGGTGGCAGTTGTGCTCACATCTTCATCATCATTATGGTCATTGCGGTAGCGCAAAGCAATGATGCCTGGCGGCGAGGCGAGGTGGCCTGAGAGAGAAGACTGGAGAGTCTCATTGGCGTGCGGCAGTTGGCGCAGATGATTGTCTCCTCATGAGGCCCCACGGGGTGAGGCAACTACAGGTCGTACCACGTGGGTCCCTAGCAGAGAGTCGAACATTGGCGACGCCACCTCAACGCAACCTGGTGTTGCTATGTTTGAGTGTATCGCAATATTGTGTAAGGTTGTGTTTAGAGTGTTGATCACGAGTAATGTATTCATTCGGCTGGTGATGTCCTTGTAAAAGCAGTTAAATAAATGTGTAGTTTGTTTTGGGTCAAACCGTGTCAACTGAGTGTGTGTTCCGAGAGGGGTGGCTTTCATTACGAGACGACATAACAGACAAGAATTGTGTCTCGATGCATGTCTCCATATAAGGGGGATTCAGCAGTATGAACTAGCCTAAGCACAATTCTACTGCTGCAAGATGCTACCTTCTGTGTTCCAGGCTTCTGCTGTGGGCCTCCAGGTTTGTTGGCGCCAGCTTTGGTTCCGCCCTTCAGCTCAGAACCTTCCGATGGCTTTTGAGCTGGTCCTTGCTTTTGCTTCTTGACAAGTCCAGTAGCACGTCCATCAGCTGGAGGGGCTGGCCTTTTCACTCCTTTCGCAGCAGGCCCCTAATGCATATACTTCTTGTAAGAAACTCGAACAGAAAATAGGGAGGGTGAAAGCGGTATGGTATACCATCCCCTTTGTTTAAAAGGCAAAAGTACTACTACTTGCGTTATGAACTGTATCTGCAGAGAGAGTTGATATTGCAATAGCCAAAGAAAGGAGCTTGCAAAAAGGGGAGAAAGTTTAAAAACCGCTGATGCGACTGCACCATGAAATTAAGCTCATGTCACCCCAGTGAAGGTCGAACTAGGAGATTGCTAGTGCAGAGTTTGGACTGGCCATCAGATAAATAGTGTCAGTGGTGATGTTGGTAGTGGCAGGGTTCTTTAGTCACACCAATAGCCATATTCAAACTCGGATGTGCCAATGAAAAGAAACTGTGGCGGAAGAACAAACTGACAAGCCACCTGCAGAAGTTGCTGCCGCAAAGATAGGAGTAATTTTAAGGAAAGTAAAATAGTTCTACGGCTGCAGCATAATCTGCAAAGTGTAAGCTGCAAATGCAAACGCACTGTTTGCTTCATTGCGGCACCGCTTGCACCCTTGTGCAACGCAACCCACAAAATGCTATTAGCTTGTTTTCCAGTGTACAGGAGGCACTACAATCAGCAGTCATCTTCAATTAAGACCAACGGCATGTCCAGACTTGCATATATACAGCCTGAGGGGAATTTCACAATTTGTATGAGTCAAGAACTCCAAGATGTAAGTGAATGTGCCCTCAAAGCTTCTGCTGGCAAACGCTTCATCCTGGCACTGAGTTGCCAAAAATGGCTGCCCATCATAAGGCGGTCAAGCAAACACAAGGAACAAGTTGGCCGAGACGGAACACGAACTAGCGGCAGCTATAGTCCGTCTTCCATCCTCCTGCTGCACCTCTGAGCCACATTGCAGTCAACCAGAAAAATAATGATCCTGCTGAAGTTCAGCATCAAAATACGCACTTCAGTTTCTCAATGCAGAAGAAAAATGATATGTTCTGGACTTAGAATAAAAGTGAAATGTTTTGGACCCTGAAATGAAAGCAAGCACAAAAGTTGCCTGACATCTTATTTTTCTCCACTAAATTATCCATAGACCCTATAACCTCTGCATAAACATAATCATGTCGGATTGGAACATACCCCTTTGGGTACCACACGATTAGTATAGAGTATTGCAGGATATGGAGCATGAGGCTCAATCGTATTAGGCACATTTAGCTGACCATATTTTGCCTCTCGCTCCCCTCAGCCAGTCAGTGGTTGCACCACTGCACATGCGCTAGATGATCCGGCGCTGAGCGTGTGAGCAGACTGTCATAGTCAGCTAAGGATCACATGACTCGAGGAGAATCGACCAAAATGGCAGCCTCTTGTGCCGAGAGTTGGCGCTGCTCGAGAAACTCAGTGGTTGTTTAGCAAACATGCAAGCACTGATGGCACTTTGGGACACACAAAGATCTGTGCCTCCTCCGAAAAGTTGTCGCAGCCAATCCCTTCGAGAATCCGCGCATGTGGGGTGAAGTTCCACGAAACGATCTAGAGCAGACATATTGAACTATAAAAGAGCATCTCGAGATGCTTCTTTGGTACTTCTGTCAAAATGACTTCACAAATCTTTGATTGTGAGCAATTTGATGTAACAATAGTAACAATTTAGTTTTTAACAGCAGCCACCCTTCCACATATTCAGAAAAGCTCTTTAGTTTGATTTGCTACAAGGCGTGAACGCGCTGCCTCAGGGCAGGGCATTCGAAACGCGTTTAGGCTGCCTCGAGGGCTTCTATTGTAGTCCAGCTCCAAGTGAAGGTGACAAAAAAAAATAATGCTCATGCGTCAAACAGTAAATTAATTCACACACCTTTAAAACAAAATTTTCTGTCTTGCTGCAAGATAAGAACAATTTTTATTTTCCTTTACAACAACTTTCATGCACCGGTGGCATCACGTTTGCGTTGACCGAGCAACGCTTGGCTAAAACCGAAAACACACGTTGCGCTCCGGTAACTGAGCGTTTGAGCAGAACGGAGAACGGAGCACAAAATCAGTCAGCTAAATGTGCCTATAATCAAGTCGGTTTGGAACATGCCCCTTTCGGCACCACACAATTAGTATTGCAGGATATGGGGCATGAGGCTCAGTTGTAAGGATGGCTGTAGAACGTTCAGATCGGCAGAGCAGCTCTGCACAAGCCCACAAGCTGAACCAGGGCCAGGACGAACCTTTCACCAAAAAAGTTTTTCTTCTGAAAATCCCATGTCTTTCCCCTATAGCTCAGTGCTGTGAAGTGTCATGACAATTTTTTACTTTCAACTTGAACCTGTGAAACAAAGTGAACGATGCTTCACTAGAACAACTTTTGGCCTCTTCCACAGTCTTCTTTTAAAGTGTCGTGGCACTCTGAAGTCTCTTAAGGCATGCAGCCAAGCATGCTAAATTATGTTATTTCTCACATTTTCTGGGATTCACAGTGCATCATTTGTTTTGCTTTCTTAAAGGAAACCTTTTTGTGCATAAAACGATTCAGAAAAAAATTATATAGAACAGAGTGCACTGAAACGTTTTGAACAAAACAGGTTTTCCCATAAGATTGCAATACCAACCAGCCCAAGTTGTTGTGTTGCTTTGTCCAGCCGCCATTGCACGACAATGCAGATGTGCTGCGAGCGGCAAGTTAATGAATATGTATTCATCTTCCCAGCAGATGCAGGATTCCTTGCTGCTAACCATCTATATGGTTAACAATTGGTGCAATGACACTCGGCATCTACACACATCTACAGCTGTTATGCTACTCAGGCTATTGCCTTAACAGCATCAATGCTACGCTGGTCACAATGCGTGGAGTGAAATCCTTCAAGCCTCCACAATAAGGAATAGACAAGCGATAAAGGCTTGGCTCGATAACTCTTGAATCTTGCTAGCATAAATATGGCTATCTTACATTTTTCTATGCTATTAACAATAAGAGCACTTTTTAACTAGTACATAGAACGTATAAATACAGGGAAATCGTGCATTTCAAGCCCACAACTGCGCAGATGCAGTGCCATAAATAGAATAGTTTTGTAGTTGCTTAAAACTAATGCATGTCTCTTTCCACCATTAACATTACTACCTACAGTTATTCTTGTCCTTACTGGGCCTTTGCAGAATGTGCATAACTATATAATTTATGTATAGCAACATTTATCTGCTTATCTGAATGCGAAACTGTTTAAGCTACCGCTCACTTGTAGAATTCATTGATGTCAATTAAAAAAGCAGGCCCCTGCGCAAGAGTTGAAGATGGACTGCATATATATACTGTATATACTCACATAATTTGCACCACTGTATAATTTGAGCACCCCTAATATTTTGACAGATTTACGAAAAAAAAATTTTCTCGCATAATTAGAGCTCTCCGACCCAGCCGAGCCAGCTCACCAGCCCACGCTTAAAAAGACTGTTGAACTTTGGATTTTTTGGACGGGCGCGCTGGGTGCACACTCCTTCAAACAAGCAAGCAAGCGCAGTCAAACGGACTGCGAGTACGAAGTCACTTCTAAGACTTCCCCCGAACTAGGACCAGTACAATACCGTGCAGGACCACTCAAACCTGTTGACGGGTTGCCGAAACTGCTAGAGCGTTTGTCCCCCTGTATCTCTCCACCTCTACCACTGTGTGAATGCAAGCTCCCGTCACAGAACGGACAACTTTCGGCACCGGAGGTGTGCGAGGGCCTGCTGTTGGCCTGTCGCGCCAAACTATTCCCCTCGTTCTCTGTGTCTGCGCTGCAACGCATGCTTGGTAGATTTCAGAAGTTAAGATTTCGCCATCCGTCCTACACGTTTACTGTTCTCTTGCGATGGGCTACAGTGATTACATATAGGGCAAAATTCAAGCTCACTGTTGTGAATTTTGCGGAAAAAAATAGGGAATCGTGCTACCGCCAGTCTCTTCTGCGTGAAGTTCTCAAATGTGTGACGATCGACGCAATCAGTACGGAAGAAAGAAAGTGCGAACTTTCTGGTACAATGCCACTGAAGAAGGACTTTTTAATTATGTGCAAACCCTTAGGTCCTACAGCATCGCTGTGTTGTGGGAAGTAGTTTGTGGGAAGTAGTTTTTCCCAGCATTGTTGAGAAGAGTTTCAAGAAGATGGAACATTCGAACGAACTGGACAAAACCGAAGGCGATGCGCTGTGGTATGGTGGTGGCAGCGGCCGCGATGATTCTCAATTCGCCCATAGATCAGCAATTCCGACTAAACGGAGTGTGACCGGATCTCACTGGTTAAAGTACATGATAATTGTGTTAAATAAACAAGTGCACTTCGTTCGTGCCAATTCATTTTATTTTGTTGAATGCATATACTTCACGCATTAGGACCTATTGCACATTACTTCGCATGCGTTCATGAAATCCTTGTGCAATTAGCGCACCGCACCCCCTTCTTATAGCCCCAGAATCACGAAAGAAAGCGCACAAATTATGCGAGCAAATACGGTACTTAAACAGAACATTTAGACTTACAAAGCGAGTGAACTTGATTTTAAGTGTAATTCGATGTAGCAGCTGTATGGCCACTCATGGTACATTTGACTTACCACCCTCCAACTTAACTTGAAGTGATGCCGGGCCCTTGTAAAATGGGAGCCAGAGAAGTTCGCTCGAAACAAACGCTACAAACACATTGCTGCTCACAGAGTCATCAGGGGGTCTAAACGACCAAGATTCGATTGGATCTTGGTCACACTCCCAGATCAATGGCGAGAAAACCTTCAAATGCAAAGAACCAGGCCAGTGGGCTTCAAATACCCAGCTTTGACCAGCTCAATGCGAAGCACACCCCCAGAGCACTTGAAAGTAACCAGTCAAATGTACCATGAGCAAGCCATGTAGGCATTACGCCACAGTGTCTGTGCCGCACAACAGAAATAGGTGGCGAGTTTAAGCAGCTAGTTGCGGACAGGTGCTTGCAACAAGCTTCTCCTATTTGCGTAAACGAAGAACTTCTACACACCACTGGCTCTGTGGAAGCGATAACTCCCTCAGAGGTGGACGCCTGAAGCTGTTCTATATATCAGTATCACCATTTATTTACCTGGACAGCAATGCCAGGCTTTGGAGCTGGAGCTGCTGGTTTCACGGCAGGGCCGGTTGGTGGCTTGCCATCTGTGAGCCAGATGGCACGTGTGCTTACTCTCCCAGTCAATGGGATGTGGGTCACAACGTACGAGCAACAGGAGTTGGCACGTGAAAACTTCATTTCAGCTTGTGCACTCACTGTACTCCGTACAGGTGACCCACACGCATTCTTGCAAAAGTGCAGCAGCAGCAGCAGCCGTCTCAAAGAGACAGCCACATTGACTGCAGGCGTTGAAGAAGCAAGTACTGTCTTCTGCAGGAAGCTGGGTAAAATTTCTCATTTATGCATGGTTTAGTAATGAGTTGCAGAAATGGTAATTCATTCAGAAGTGCTACCGATAAAGCCACTGGATGTGGCCGCAAAAGCGTCATGGTCACGTCACATCCAGGTTTTGAATTCCAAATTGTTCTTGTGTTAACTGGGGCAGTTTGCAAGCTGCAGCTATTTGTTGTATGCAGCAAAGAAGGCAAACTCACAGTCACAATTACTTAGTGGCAGTTTGATATAACCTCCAGGACAGGTAGAATATGCAGGACATGTTGTCCAGATTTTCTAGCGTAATTGCAGACATACTGCAAGCTTGTTTCGCTCAGTACCTGACAAAGCATTAGCTACAACAGTACTGAGCGAGCTGAGGGGTTATTTTATACTGGAGATTCCAGAGTGTATTTACCCCATTTCTGTCGGGCAGCAACAGACTGCCGCTTGTAATGCTGTGCCTAACTGTATTGACAGTGCAAAAACTTTTACTGTGACCATCGCTACACAAGAACATGGAGTTTAGGTGCTTCTTAACTTGTGGAAACACACAGTGAAGTGCACTTCTGTTTCCACTGGCATGAGCAAAGCGAATGGGGTAACCTCAGCAAGCAAGTGAAAACAACTTGCTAAGCAGCTGTTTCAGCTGTGCAGGGGCAACCAAGTTTATATGCTTGGCTGCGCACCGAAATCCCCACATGTGGGATCAGATTTTTCTTACGCTATACAAAAGGGACAATTTCACAATCACTGCTCAGCAACTTGGCATAATAATAGCCAAGGGCTTGTTGTGTATTGTCAATGGCTTTGCCTACACTGATGTCGTAGTTCCGCCAAGCATCTACAAAAAATTGGAATGTAGTCTGCTGTGAGGCGAGTGAGCAGCTCGAGAGATCAATACCCGTGCCATTTGTGTCGCCTCACTAGGCCAGCACACCACTTCTCGCATTTAGGCCAGTTTTCTGATGCTAGCAACAGTTGAACATTCTGTCCCCATCCCAGTATAACACCGCAAGTGGAAAAAAGCTGAAATGCAGCAGGCCTTTGACATTTGAAGCTCCAGTGTGACCTGAAAGAGCTTAAAAACATTGAAAATGAATGCTTTTCTAGCATAAAATCGAAAATAAGCCCCCCCCACCCCCAAAAAAACTTATTTCCACTCATTGTTACCCACTTGCTCATTGTTACCTACTTGCTATGCGGTACAAAAGTTACTTCTAAATTGGGTTTCATTGCCCTCAGTAAACTTTTTGTAATAAATGCCAGAATGCAGGATCACTCAGCTTGCTGAATCTAAATATGACCTGAAACACTGGAAAGTGCAGGCATGCACTAATATATATATATATATATATATATATATATATATATATATATATATATATATATATATATATATATATATATATGCCCTGATGCCGTAACCTTGGCAATAAAGCATCGTTTTTCGTTTGCTCATTCGCTTCTTCTGGTGACTTACAACTCGACCCGAATCCAGGAAGACTTTCAAGAAATATATATATATATATATATATATATATATAGACTACAGTAGATTTTAAGTAAATGGAAACTGTTAAACTTGGTTTCGGGCTTCCGCACTTATGATCACCTCTCAGTAAATGGAACTTCTAATAAATGAAACATTTTACCGATCCCTTCAGGTTCCGTTTAATGAGAATCTACTATAGATGCATATACATTTACAATAAGTAGATGCTGCTCTCGTATAACTAACACAAGCAAAGACATAAGCATTAAGAATAAGCATTACTGCGTACAGTGGAATCTCATTGGCACGACTTTCACATGAGCTGATAAATAAAATGCATCACCTTTATTACTCATAGTGGACACCTGTTGACCAATTCTTAAAGCACTGCGAGCTTAACTGCAGCAGCATCACTTGATGCCACACAAACAAAAGCCATTCCACTTATATTCAGCAATAGACCAGTAGTGATTACTCCACACTGATACTGTGCAATCTTTGCAGCTTGAAACAAATAACATGTTGATTGTGTGTCATTGGAATGTAATTTAGAATAGAAATTGAAATATCAAGCTACTAGCTTTAGAAATGTACCAGCAAAAGTCCCTTCTGCTGTCATACTACTTAAATTTAGGTAAAAATGAGACTGCGCTTACATGAAAATACACTGCTGCTTTGAGGCGCTGGCCACGAAAAGGAAGAAAAAAAATTATTCTAAAAGATGTATTACACATAATTGCGTCGATGAGATTCCGTTTTACATTGAACTTTCTTGAACTTGCAACAGCATAAGACTCCATAAGCAATAAGGAAGTTCTTTCCAGTACAATTAATAGAAGCAACTATCAGAACAGAAAACAATACCATTTTTTCGAAACAACGCCCTCAACTGGGGAGGTCGCACCTCTGGTGGAATCCACTGCAAAAGAGTTGAGAATTCAGGAACTTCAATGGCACGTAGCCAAGATAAATTAACACACATCAATACTCTTCAACTGAATTTCAGAAGCAATGCCCAGCAGTTTCTTTACATTATGGCAGCTGGTGATATAGCGATGAGTAATTCTGTAGTGGCAAAAAAAAATTCAAGGGGAAGCACATAACCTGGGCACTCCCTAAATCTATCACTAAGTATTTGTGTGAAAATGGGGCACAGTATTTCTCCAGAGTGCCAAGATCTGCAAATGATGAAGTGATAGCACCGAATATCTATCGCATGTGCCATTGCTATCGCTATGAACGTGGGTCACCAGCAACTCCGGCGTTTACAGCACATAGAGTTTGTTCGCACGCAGTAACAGCAACATACGCTTCCAGCTTTACTTCCACACATGCCACAGGCGCATTTCCAGACTAGAAACTTCACATTTCTCATCAAGTGTTGCTGGCTACGGCAACACATTTTTGTCTTAAAGTTGCGTTGTTAAAGACTGATGGGCGCGCAGCGTAGTTACATTATCTGGTCGATTGCATTTCGCGAGTATGGTTTGCGCGCCCGGATCCCTACATTGATTGACGACGCCAACTACAGGTGGCCAACGGGGACTGCATTTCTTGCTAAAATTATTGCAACCAAGAAAATTTTGAGGCTGGTCAAGCATTTTGGTGCAGCGTGGCACAACTTCAGCGAATTTCATGGTTTTGGCGAAGCTCGGCGCACAAATAAGAAATTGTATCAATGGCACCATTGGCGCAGCTGTCGCACCCCTGAGTGGTTGCAGTATTGGAAAGTTTGCTGCTATTTGCTATTGAAGGCTATTGCCAGTATTTGTTGACATACTGAATTCACAGAAAGCACAACTACTTTAAAAACCGGAATATAGGTCAGACCAGAATATAGGTTGACCCTTCAAACCATTAATTTCCAAAAAAAAATTTTTTTAAATTGCGAAGTATCGCAGCACACCTTTACCTTGGTACAAAATATCCGACGCAACCAGCTGCACGGTGGTGACATTTCTTCTCATTTGGACACTAATCTCATGCAGTTAAGGGAGCAGACTGGTCTTTGGGACCAAAAAGTGACAAAAAAATCATTTCTTAAAACTAACATATTGGTTTCTGCAAGTATTTTGCCATCTCTGCAGATTTTCACACACCAGGAAGTGGTAATTTTTTTGTAATCTCATTCTAACTGTTCAGATTCTTGGTGCTGTTAACATGCAGAAACTGCAAAAAAAAAATGGAGAACCAACTTCGAGACCTCTTTATATGCCGGCACCTCTGCTACTAATTTATCAGCACCTTTATGAGGATCGGCACCTCTGCTACTAATTTATCAGCACCTTTATGAGGATTTCAAAACATGCGCACCATAATTGTTGCTTTTTGAAGAATCTGTGTGTTTTAAGCTTTTTCCATTTTTTTTTTAGAAAAGTAAATTTACGACTGCTTAATTTTGAAGCCCAAATATCTCTGCAGCTAGGCCCGGTACAACAATAATTCTTTTTGTAACGGAAATGTGTATGTGTGTAGAGTGCAAGTATGGGAGCAGAATTTAGAAAACAAGCCTTTTTAATTAATTGCTCATCAAAATTGTAACACAATTCCAACTTCTCTTGAATATAGATAGTTCATTTTGCTGTAAAATAACCAAGGAAGGCCTGAAAACAAAAAACTCTTGCATTATTTCAATCTATAGCCATTAGTCTATGTTGGGATATCTTACATATCACATTTAATTAAGCACCTTTTTTCTATGGTGGCCTTAAACAATAGGGGGTGAACTTAAGTTATTTCAGAAACAAGAAGAGGTACAGGAAAACTAAATATTTGAAATCGGCAAAAAATCAAGATCACTGAAAAAATAAACAAAAAATATCTAAGACCAGTGTACCCCCTTAAACGCCAGAAGGCCACAAAGTACTGTCACTCAGACTCGTCCGAACTTGAGTCCGAAGACGTCCGTTTTTCACTAGTAACGTTCCATAGTGCATCGTCCTCCGTTCTATCCAGTGCATTACTGATGCAGCATTTGGGAAAAGACGAAAGTACGCCGCCTTAGAGCAAAGCCTTTTCGCTTTATGAATCGCTACACCCACGATAGCAATCCCTCGAACTGCACCCTTAAACTCAGAGTCGTGCGCTGTCTTCAGAGCTTTCACGCGGATACACTCAGCTGGTATGGGTGGCGACATTGCAAGCAGCTACCAGACGAATTCAGCAAGTAGGGTTTCCAGTTCAGGGTGCACTGCAGTCCGTCTACGAAACTGTTTTTCGTTTTGTTTTGGTTTCTGCAGCATGTGATGCGCTGCTTTTGGCTCCTCCAGTACCCGACGCTTTTCCCCGAAGCACGAATTCCCGTTGTGCCGCCAGATTGCCATGCGCTTCGGCACATTTGATAACTTTTACTTTAAAGCGGCTCAAACTGCCGTCAACTACCACTCCAGTCTGAAGGAAATAGCAGAAAGAAAACAGCAGACTGACAGGAGATAATCGAGGCAAAATGGCGTTGCTACAACACTGTAGGCCTTGCTATGGTGGCTAATAAAGCCTTGCCTAGCCTTGCCCAGTGGCGCCACTTCTGATGCTGACAAGGGCAATGGAGGCTTTCCACTTCAATTGTTCCGAGGCTTCCACATTTATTTCTGCCAATGACGGATATACCGTAATTACTCGAATCTAACGCGCACCTTTTTTTCGGTTAAGCGAGTTCATAAATCGCATGCGCGTTAAAATCGAGTGCGAAAAAAAAAAATGAATACGGTCGTTCTATTGCCATCGGCATTTCCGAAATGGCCGCCCCCTACGTGCTTCGGCACAGCCATTTCTGCCTACGCGTTTCCCATGTGCGGCACTTCGTACGTGTGCTGAGGAGTTCGTCATCTTGTAGTTCATTAGCATCGACGGCATGGAAGGGCCGACTCCAAAAACTCGACGAGTGCACCACGATTCCGATTTTAAAAGAAAAGTCATTGCGTGTGCCGAAACAGACGGAAATCTGGCCGCATCGCGGTCGTTCGGAGTTCCCGAAACGTGCATGCGGGACTGGAGGAAACAAAAGCAGAAGATTGTCGACAGCAAAGACTCACGCATATGCTTCAGTGGACTACAGCAGGGTCTGTTTACGCAAATTGAAGAGCTGCTCGGCAAGTATGTGCTTGAGCAGCGAGCGGCACAGCGGCCCGTGACGACAGAACTGCTCTAAGTGCGGGTTGTGCAATTAGCCTTAAAAAAAGGGATAACGCGGAGCCAGTTCAAAGCGAGCAGGTGCTGGCTAACTAACTTTATGAAGAGGAAAGGCTTTCCCTCTGAAGGTGAACGGGCATATGCGAAAAGTTTTGCGGAGGAGCACGATGAAAAGCTTCACAGTTTTCAGAGGTTCATCCTAAACTTGCGGCACAACAACGGCTACCTGCTTGGGCAAATCGGGAATGCCGATCAGACGCCTCTTTACATCGACATGCCTGGCACCACAACCGTCGAAAAGAAGGGGGCAAAGCAAGTTCGCCTGCTGAAATCAGGCCACGGTAAAGCAAGAGTGATGGCAATGCTCCGTTGCACATCAGATAGGCACAAGCATCCCCCGTACCTCATATTTAAACGGAAGACGCTCCCAAAAGAAGTCGTTTTCCCGAGTAGTGTGACCGTGCGGGCCAACGAGAAAAATGAGTGCGCGTTGCAATCGATGTCTTACTTTTTTTTTTTCGTTGTGAAAACAGAGTGCACGTTACAATTGAGGGCGCGGTAGAATCTAGTAGATACGGTATAGGACGAGAGTCGACTTTTCATTGCGTCTTTTTTTTTTTTTCATTTCGAGCTATATTTCAGTTGTTACGTTACTACATTGAAGAACGTAACACTTGCACCTAAAACTCTTGTAGCAATCTGTTCATAATGATCCACGGCCAGAAGAACACAATTGATTTGATTGACTGATTTATATCAATCATTCACCGGGATTAGATACCGTGAGATCTGCAGGTCAGCACCTTAGCCACTAAACCACCGCGGCGGGGCTGCCAGAAGAACACATATATAGGCTGCTGACGAAAGTGGTATTCATGAACATTTGCTAGATCACAGCATGTGTTCCCCACCTCTAGCAAACCAAATGTAACTAATTAAAGATAAACTAATAAAATAAGGGTCATACCAACACTGCCTGCTTCAAGACACTGACGACCTCCTTGTGTCGCTTTCCACTGAGGTGCTGTGAAACAAAGCAAAAAAAAATAATAATAAATGCTGTGAAGATTAGGATAAAATACAAGAAACATTAATTGAAAACCTACTATAGTTGTGCGATTTTAAGTCACCATGATTGACCCCTTCATTAGTATACCATATTTACATGACTGCAAGTTGACTTGAATGTAGGGGCAAGCCCCTAAAATTGCACATTTAAAACTGCATAAAAGACTCGCAAATACATTTCAAAATAGAAAATAGTTAAGGCACTTGACTGACTACACAATGCTGACGACAAAGCACTGCTGGCCTTAAGGCCAGCAGTGCTTTGTTTAAGAGGTGAGATGAGAATTTTTAATGTTTATGGACGTGCAATATCACTTGTCAATAATGTTGCCAACAAAATTACTTGGTTATATTCACTTGTGTTTAAATACATATCACAAGAAATTAAAGAGAAAAAAAAAACACCAGCAAGTCTGATCAGTAGAAGATTGCTTGAAATAAGCACAGAGAAGAAAGGACACAAATAGGCTTGTCCCAATATTCTAATTTGTTTGGAATCAAATTTAAATAATTGATAATATCAAATTATTCAAAATAAAAAATAGATGCTCGTAGAAACCTGTAAAAGTGGTTTCACTGCAGTGGGTGAGTGCAAAGCCGTGAAAACACCCAGGAGAAAAATCCGCACTGTCATGAAGTTACACTTCAAGGTTAAATGAAAGTATTATACTCACATTGATTCATTTCTTAAGTTTAAAATCTTGTTATACCTACTTATATACACTAACTATAGTAAATTTTATTACGTAACTTATTTTACTGGCTGTCACTTGCATTCTACCGAAAGTCAAATCCTGCTACAATTCAAAGATGTTTCCATTTCCTTTGATTAAAAAAAAAATTGGCATTTGCACAGGTCTTCTTTCAATTTTTAAAAATATTGTGCTGGTTAGTTAGATCATGATAAATATACTCATTTTTCTTTATAATATGCAATATTATTCAAATTCAAATTTGAAACTATTCAAATTTGAAATATATATACCGTATTTACTCGCATAATCGGCGCACACGAATAATAGGCGCACCCCTAGTTTGGTCGCGGAAAATTCTATTTTTTTTTAATTCCGCGCATAATAGGCGCACCCCGACTTGGCCGTGATCAGAAACGATTCTACCCCCCAGCGGTACAGTTGGAACGCGGTCTCCGTACCCTGAAGGAAAAAAGAAGGCAAATCGACGAGCAAATAAAAAAAATTCGAAGTGCAACGACCTAACCAACGTGTTTGTCGAAATAAAACTTGAAAAAAAAAAAAGCGTTCATGAGCGAAAAAAAAAAAACGGCTGTTCCATCAAAAAATAAATAATAATAATTACTGATACCTCCCAAATCGCCGTGCTTTTTGGAGGTCACGTGTACAATGCCGGGGGCTCGATCGCCATCACCACCATCAGAGAAAAAGAAAGAAACGCCATTTTGCAAGCGGTGTGCGTATGTTGTGGTATTGAACTTTGGTTCCACCATGGGGAAGTACGCGAGCTACACGGCTGGGTTTAAACTGAAGGCAGTGCAGTACGCGCTGGAGCACGGCAACCGGGCTCTCCGACTCGGACTCCGAATTGGGAAAAGGAGGAAGAGCTACGACTTTTGTGTATATAAACTTTACATGTGTGTGTGCAGTTGACGGCTTTCGCTTGTTCATTAAAAGGTACGTAGGTATGTTTGTTTTATGCTGAATTAATTGGTAAACGATAAAGTCGCTTTTTACTTGACAAGTGTGCAGATTTAAAGCGCGAGAACCGAGCTGAAAAAATTTTCGAAAATTTTACCCCGCGTAATTGGCGCACCCCTAACTTCGAGCCAGATTTTCTGAAAAAAAAGTGCGCCTATTATGCGAGTAAATACGGTATATACTACTCAAATTCGATACGGAATTATTCAACCAAAATCCCTATTCACTTCTAATTTGCTTCGAACCTGAAATTCACTATTCCCAAAAGCCTAGACACAAGACTCACTAAACAAATGAATTTTTACCAACTAGCTCCTATTTAGACCTTACTTTAATATACTAAATCAATAGCGCGACTACCATCCAAGCCAAGAAAACAGTAGCACCACCTACTCACCTGCACTAACTGGTGTACAGAGCTTAATGTTATACAACAGACATCACACGTAGGCCTCTCTGGCATTACAGCATCTGCAACAAAATAGAAAGGAATAAGACTTTAGCATCCCCATAGTGTAAACTTAATATGAAGGCCTCCAACAAGTAACACTGATGCCAATAATTCAAATTTATGATTATTGAGAAAGCTTCATGGCACCGCCACTCACCCAGCAGACAATGTGCAACATGGGAGGTGCACACGCACTCTGTAAAGTCACTTTTTCCCCATTGTGCCCACACGTCTTAGCTTATCGCTGTGAGCGAGAGATGGCACACTGCCCCAAAGGGGCGCCAGTAGAGCTGCCAGGTGGGAGTCGGGTTGCGCGGGGTGATGAGGAGAAGAACTTTTTTTTTTTGGCGGGTGTACTGCAGTCAGCAACAAACGACTCTTACTGAAGGTTCATGCGGGTACTTCTGCAGCTTCTCAAGGACTCCTGGGTGGAGTTGAACGTTGGCGGCGCTGAATTCACACTACATGACGTGTGTCTGCGAGTTATATTGGCTCTCTATGGTGTTACTTGGCATAACTGCAGTTACTTGTAAGATTGAGCGAGCATGTTCGCCGTATGTAAAGGCTACTAATTTAATGTCTGCATTCCTTTGCTCAACAGCCTGAACTGTGTCACTGCATTCCACGAGGACTGTTCTCAGTGCGACTCCACAATTAGGCTGACGAACATATTTAACAAAATATGTTGCCCCAAGTGATAACTTAAACTCCAGCTCCACAGCTACATGCTACTACAGCCATAGTGTGAGTAGAAACAGCACTATTTTAGTTTTGATATGCCATATGCACTTCCTTAAAACTGAAATTACATATCTTACCTAGTAACCATCAATATACCTAGGAGTCTGAACAAGTAACAAGTGGAACAAAGAACAAAGCTCAGCCACAAGGTCATAATAGCAGTACTATTTCAAAACACTTCGTCATGCAAGCTACAGTCTGCGTAGATTAATCTACATGTCCTGCATAGAACACATTTTCAAGACTTCAAACAGCTTAGCGTTGCATCAAATGTACACTGAATGTGCATATTTGACTAGAACAGCAAGTGAAATGATGGTCAACTTTTGAGAAGTACATGATCAAGTAGCCATCCCAGTGCGATAGACTCCAATATTCCCAGAAATGAAGTTACGGATAATGTATTCAAGGATGCCACAGCCAAAATAGAATTTAAAGCAGTTTTTAAAGCAGTAAAGTGTTACTTTTGGAGCAGTAAAATCCAAATTAGAACAGATTATCAAAAAAAAACATCAATTTTTATCATGAATGATCATGGTTGGACCAGAATAAAAAAGCTTACATGAAAAAATCGCATATATGTAGAAACCATTCAACATAACATAAATGGTGCAGAGTGAACATGAGCAATGCTTTTTCAATAAAAGTAGTATTTTGAACCACCAACCAAGCAAACAATGATAAAGACCACATTAGCATTTACCATGCCTGTCAGATGCTTTGACAGACTCTGCGAACTCATATGTCGATCTGCCAAGATGTTGACCTTAAATTTCGGGGGATCATAAAACTGAGAAAAGCAAAAGCGGAAAAAAAAACTGGTGCACATTTTTTTTAGGGTGGCAAAAATGTCATACACTGTTCCAAATTATTGCCAGTAGCTTTTTTTGACATCAGCAATCATACTAGTACTCACATTTATGCATCGTATACATGCCTGAGTAATTAAACAAAAAGTCCTGTGACTAGTAATGCTAACCCCTTCCAAATCACAATACGCTTTTCACAGGGCACCGGTGTATTGCGGCGAAAGTCGCTTAAGCAGCATTTTGCACAGGTTGGAACACAGCCTAGAAATTTTCCAACACTACTACACCATGTGCCCCCCCCCCCTTTCTACCCCCAAATGTAGTTAGGTTTAGGACATAACTACTTGGCTCACTTGCTAGGCGCATGCAACGAGGTAAAGTAAAACCGCGTGCCCTTTGATCGGGTGACGGCACAGGATATTTATCACTGTGACCAGCGTGCTTAACGCTTGCATTCGTAGCACGTTGAGCCCGTACATGCGCGAAAAACGCAGCATACACTTTCTGCTTTAGTTGCTAACATGTCATAGCCGCGTTTGTTTACTAGAGAATTCACGTTTCCCTCGTAGCATTCGCGGCTACGGCAACACATTTTAGTCTGGCTGTTGCGTCCTACTACCAACAGGCATTGGCTGCGGTCAGCAGACCAATGGGTGTGAGGCGTTGTTACTTTATCTAGTCGATCGCGTCTCATGAGTGCCCTTACCTAATCACAATATATCTTACACCATGGTTTCGGTATGGCCACCATAGTTTCTGGTTAGGGCCTCGGTGTGTTATTGACTGACGACGCAAGCTGCAGGTGGCCAACATGGCATCCATTTCTCGCTGAAATCAGTGCAACTGAGAAAAACTTGAGGCTGTTCGAACATTTTGGTGCAGTGTGGCACAATTTCAGCGAATTTCACGGTTTTGGCACACCTGGGTTAAAACTGTGGAATCATATCAAATTGGCTCAGCTGCTGCACTGTTGTGTATTTATTTGTAGTGACTGCATAACAATGGCCAAGACATGGGCAGCAATTTCGCAATGATGCTGTTCAATTCAGTGCCACTCAGCTTCACCATTCATAGGCAAATTATTCAGTTAACTCACACAGAGCATCACTCTGACCCCAGACAAAGCACAAACAGTGTGAAAACTGCATTGGTATAATATTGTTACTGTGGACGGCTAAGGTCATACGGAAGTGCATGTGTGCTCTCAGTCCTGGTTAACATCCCTGCCTTTCTTTCATGCTCATTCTGCTCATCTCATTAGCAATGCATTGAGAAACTTTTGTCATATTTTTGGATGATCACTTTCGAAGACGCTGTGTTTTGTGGAGTGTCATGTGACTAAACAGTATGCACTGCGCTATTAGAGCACATGGCCAAGCTGGGCCGGCTCACACTGCAGGCAGTGGCCATCCAGAAACCTGCATAAACCCTGAATACAAGTTCATGAACCACACAGGCCCTTAGGTGCTATACGAATCAAGATTCACTTTTGTAAACATTCTGACTAGTACAAGAACCTACTGGGATGAGTAACCTGAAATATGAACATAAATGCTGATTTGATTGATTGACATGTGCGGTTTAATGTCCCAAAACCGCCATATGATTATGAGAGAAGCCGTAGTAGAAGGCTAAGGAAATTTATACCACCTGGGGTTCTTTAACGTGCGCCCAAATCTGAGTACACGGGCCTATAACATTTCCGCCTCCATCGGAAATGCAGCCGCCCCAGCCGGGATTCGATCCCGCGACCTGCAGGTCAGCAGCCGAGTACCTTAGCCACTAGACCACCACGGCGGGGTGAAAATAAGTGCTGTTAATTTAGTATATAATATTTTGTTCTATCTCTCTTCTGTATAACGTAATAACTAAGCAATTTTAATACATAAATTTGTTCTGTACAAATTAACCCTTTTTGGAACTGAAATTCTCGACATGTAATAACAAAAGTGGAAAAGCATTATGAAATTTCATTAAATGTGAACAAAAGAACCCTCCATTTCTAGCTATTTGATTGTCATAAATGATCACAACAGATTTACATTAGAGCTCGGAATCTTTCTTCAAAGCTCGCATAGCTCCTGCTTAAGGGGAGACACGGGTATGGGAGGCCGAAAATTTTTCGAAAAACCGATTTTTTGAAGTATTTTTTTTCATAATCATTAAGGTCTAAGGAAGCTGTTCCTAAAATATTAAAGCCTTGTAATGCGTATTTGTCGAGTTATTGGGTCGCAAAGTCAGTTTGACGACCATTTTCGCTTCCGAAACCACCTCAAAAACTGTCGTATTCAACGCCGCAGCACGCAAGAACCGCACCAAGTAGCGCGGCCATTTTGGTCTCATTTTAAAGACGCATTTTTCTATTATCTGTTCCTAGCAGAAGAACGTTTTTCGTCTAGCAACAACGCAGCTATCGCGCATATAGAAAAATTGAACACTCGCACATCATTGGTGCGTTTTTGTCACGTGGGGCAGTTCCCGGTTTCCTATTGGACGCGAAGGGATTCGTCTGCTAGACAGCGGCGTGCAAGCCGCCATTTTGCGTAGAGGCCTAACAACGGCTGTGCATTGGGTGCAATGGCAGGCGGTCATCGGAAGTTCCGGAGTGCTCATGCATTCGGAAAAAAGGCGAAAACGGCGTCCGAGAGCCCGCACCTTATCACCAGCGAGACCTTCTGCCGCCGAGAACTCCGAAGAAGCAGGCTGTGCCAGCGCTATCACCGCCGCGGCACCCGCGATCGCGGACGCGATAGCGGCGTCCCAAGATCACACGAGAGCTGTGCACGTCGACACTCCCCTGGTTTCCGACACTGAAAAAGTGGCCATCGAGTGTCGTGCGAGCGATGTCCTGCAAGGTCTTTCATCGAAGTCTGCCACAAAACGCAAGCGGTCGTTTTTTAGAGACTCGGATGGAGCCGCAACGCCTGGTACGCCGTTCACCGTCGTTAGCTTGGAGTTGGTCAACGAAGTTCTTCAGTGTATGAAGTGCGGTGTGTGTGGCGGGCCTGGCAGAATCTCCAAAGAAGACCGCGAATATGGCATAGTCGCGAAACTTGTTTTCACATGTGACGAGTGCGGTAAACTGAGGACCGTATGGAGCTCGCCGAGAGCAGGAGGGGGACGCCCCTTCGAAATTAACGTGCTCGCGGTTCGCATGGCAATGAGCACAGGAAACGGGCAAACTGCGCTCAACGATATTTTTTTCAGCCTAAATATTTCACAGAGAGGCCTGCACACCAAGACATACCAGGATTATGTGAAATTGAAAAATGAACCCTGCCGCGCAGAAGGCTGCCACGCGCGTTATTGACGACTGCGCGAGCACCGTGAAAACGGTGTATTCCGAACTCAACTATGGAAATCCTGGAAATATCGTCGTTTCCTTTGATGGGACTTGGCTGACCAGGGGCCACTCATCCCATATTTGTGTATGGACCGTGATTGAACTATTCACGGGTTATGTACTCGACTTCGTCGTCCCATCAAACTTTTGTGTGGGCTGCCAGCTAGGGCCGAAGGAGGACAACCCAAGGTATGCCGAGTGGCTAGCTGGTCACACTTGCCAAAAGAATACCTCCAGTAAGCCAGGACAAATGGAGGTGGAAGCAGCACAAATTTTATTTGGCTGCTCATTGGAGAGACATGGGCTCCGCTACACAACCATGTTGTGTGATGGAGACAGCCGGGCCTTCAACAGTCTGCAGGAGGCACAGGTATATGGCTTCGTGCCAATAGAAAAAGAGGACTGTGTCAACCATGTGCATAAGCGCATGGGCACAGCACTTCGAAACCTCCTGCAAAAACAAAGAGCCGAAGGAAAGCCAAGCCTTGGCGGCAAGGGCAAACTGACAGGCAAGCTGATCACAAAGCTCACGTCATATTATGGATGGGCTTTACAAATCAACCAAGGAAGCATTGAGGCCATGAATAATGCTGTCTGGGCAACCTTTTATCACGTAGCATCTACTGATGCAAGCCCTCAGCACTCTCACTGCCCAACTGGTGAAGAGTCATGGTGCAAGCACAACAAGGCTGTTGCCAAGCAGGAGACTCCTCCGAATCATCGCTACAACCTGCTGGAGTATGTGGTTGATGCCTTGCGGCCTATTTACACGCGCCTCTCTGACAAGAAATTGCTAGAGCGTTGTCAGCGAGGCAAAACACAGAACCCAAGCGAGAGCCTGCACTCTGTCATCTGGTCGCTCGTGTCCCAAAACAAACACGCGTCGCTTTTCACCGTTGAAGCTGCTGTGACCGAAGCTGTCACAAGGTTCAACGCTGGCAAAGGGAGAGCAGATGCCGCCATATTGAAGGAGCTGCACTTGCAGCAGAGTGTTGTGGCCGCTGAAAGATGCTCAGAAAAGGACAGTCGCCGACAAGTGGCATCGGAGAAGCATGAGCATGCTGAAAACTTCAAGCATGCCATGAAAAGAAAGCGCACCAAGGAGAATGATGATGACTACATTCCTGGTGGCTTCTAACATGGTTAATACACCGATTCACACCTTTTCTTGTTAAATATAAGCGCTCAGCATGTTCCTAAACTTTTCTCGTTTTCTAAAAACAACATTTTTCATCACACCCTAAGCCATTGCCCACAGTATCTTTTGATGTAGCAGTCGGATTTTGATAATTCTTGCAGCATTTGAAAGCTTATACATTGACTAGTGCAAGAAAACCAAAAAAATGTAATATTTTTATTTACAATAGTGATTTAATTAGCAACAAACTTAAGCAACAGTTTCAGATTCCTAATGAGTACTTGTTAAGCCCATAACTCTGGGACCAATGAAGCTAAAAATAAAATTATGGTTTTGTTGCACTCCCTGACCTTCATGGAATGCTGTCATATCAAATTTGTAGCAATATTTTATGAGGAAGATGTCAAAAGGCTGGGCAGAATGCAAGTTTATGTAACAGTCAATATTTAAAAATCTAAAAGTGATAGCAAAAAACTAAGTGTATATTTGTTTTCAGCTGTGAAAAATATATATTGTATTAAAATTTCAGCTGGAAATACTGAAAATTAAAAAAAAAAAAACTTCAGACCAGTGTCTCCCCTTAAACAAGCCAATTCATCTACAATAGACAACAATTTATTTGGTAGAAAACCCTGTCTACCCAACATGCAAATTCACGTTTACCTTTCATGGCATTGCGGGACACCAAAGTGAAACAATGAATTGGGTTAGATTCATAAATCATACTCTGGAAACACTATGCCATTAATTTTCCAATCACAGGTGTATTAAGAGAATAAATTCAATGTCAAAGTTTCATTTTTAAATTTTGCAATGAAGTCAACAGATTTCAAAATTTATTCGTCGCATCTCAGCGACAATGGCTTAACGAAATTCACTGAAACTTCGTGTGTCAAGTTTACGGCCTCCTAAGAGGACAATTTACGCAACGTTTGCCGATTAGGGACAACGCAGACCGTACTAGGCACTGTCGAACTATGACATCATAGCCTTTGGTGCAGGCATTTCAAGGTTGCATCACAACTCTTATTTTGTTGTACATTTTCTTGCATGCCAAATGTCTTCTAGCAGGCTTCTTGTAGCAAGCATGGTGATTTTCGTTTTGTGACAAGTACTTGACCAATGCGAGAAAAACAGTATTTCTCTTATGTGTCCCTTTATTGTCAGAGCTTTTTTTTTTTTTCATGTACGTACATTGAACTTCACATACCAACTTCAACTTGCGACTCTTACAGAGCAGTTAGCACACCTAGTAACTATCCTTGCTGCACATGAATGCAACATTTGGCTGAGCAGTTCACAAAAGTGCCTGCTTTCCACAGCATGGGTGCATGAGGGTGGTTTAGGATCCCTTTGAGGGCCAGTATCATTGCCTCTTTTTCTCCCAACAAACTAAGCACTCTATATGTTCTATACCAGACTGTATATGCACATTTCAATACCCACTTGGGTCGGGAGGCCCAGCAGAATTGCTCTCAGCTTTAGAGGGTGACTTCGCAGCTCGATTCGTGCCTGGGAGATCCAAGGCTGTAGGGGGAAGCCTGAGATTGGCGCACCGCAACCTGTGCTTGGCTCCTTTAACATGCATCTCCATTTGAGACTTGCTGACCGCCGACACGTCACACAAGTAGCATACACTGGCCTGGAACTCAGCAGCTGCGAAGAAGCAAAGAACATTAAAAGACCAGAAAACAGGCTCTAACTTTTTTTTCAAATTGCTCAAACAAACTGTTCAAATCGAGCAGAAAGCCGTGGCGATCACATTTTGGGAATATCGCACCATTGCAAACCGCAGAGACGCTCCATATTGAATAGAAATTGCCACGCGCCCTTCTCTAGTGCCTGCCAACCTTTCTCATCCACAAAGTAACATGGTTTCTCATGGACTTTATGTAACATCAAATTCCTCGACTGGTCCTCTGCACTAGAAAACGCCTTGGCACTATAATGATGTGGTATTGGCCAATCATTTGCCTTGCTTCTTCACCATGCCACTGTGGTGACACTGTGACATGTGGGTGATAAGTGGAGGAAGCCTTCCTTGGTCATTGGCAGCATGCAGATGATGTAATCCCTGACATCATACTATGGTACCAAAAAGGGGTATAGTTGCAACAATAGGCTATGCCTACCTCTCTTTGTTGAAAGACTGAGCAAAAAACCAAAATCAGCACAGATATGTTTCACCCTGTAACTTTCTTTTAGCACTTACAGTGAAACCTGAAGTGAAACTCAAGCAATAGGAATCTCGCGGGATAATTGAAATTATTTTTATATTTCCAAATTTGTATTACCAAAAAACATGACAAATCAGCACGAGAAAAAAAAAAAAAAAAACTAGCTATATTTTCACTTAGTGTGTCTCGGGGTTACAGCAACGTCATGATCTCTGAATGATTGGTATTGAAGTTTTCAGACGTTAACGATCATGCTTGTACTCGTAAATATATGACACCTGGGCAGAACCAGATGCAAGACAGTAGTCCCTTCCTAACCTCAGTACTCTATTCCACATAACAGAGTACTGGGCAAAGGTGACCTAAAGAGCACTTTGTACAAGACAGACGAAGGCCAGATAATTTTAGAACCACTGTGCCTTGTATGTTCTTATCACGGTGCTGCGACCGATGTTTTTCGGGAGCTTTACAACCATGCTGGCTCAATCGAAAAGTTTGCTGAAAATTGGAGTATCCCGTGCAAGATCGAAGAGTTGGCAGGTGTGTGCGTTTCCCAAAATCCAGTACATTTTACATCATTGCGATACCTGTGGGCATCGAACTCGTGCGTTCCCCGAATACCTTATGTACCCACCAGCGGCCGGCAACCCTCGCCAACAAAGAAGCAGGGCAACCGGACAGCGGGACGATGACGGCTGCTAGCCACAAGGACGCGACAAACTAACGTGCCTTTCGGGTTCCTCAATTATGCGAATTATCAGAAGTTCTCAGATAGACGACTCTTGGCGAGGTGACACCACGCATTACGATTAGGCATTGATTTTATCACAGTTAAAACTTTTTCAAGTATTTTTAAACCCTAACTGCACACAATGAACAGAAATCAGAGGTGCAAGGTCCACAAGTTTATTTGCCATTTACTGCTGATCACACCTTTAAAGAAATCATGAATTGCGAACTGCTTCTTTGCAATAAGCAGGTGCCTTCAGCACAAAGCTGTCTATAGCAGTTGAGAAGCATCACAGTTTACCATGCTTGTGCTTCGTTTCAAACATTTGTTTACTTGCGAAGCCTTTTTCCTTGAAGGCCTCATGTGCTTATTTTTCATATTTAGACTGTTCCGATAGTATAAGCAAAAAAATTTATATATAGCAGTGGGAAAGCAGCTGATATTTTTTGGTATGAACATGCAAAAAGTATGAATTAACCGAATGATGGAGTTTGAATTAAGAGGTTTTTAAATACATTGAAAAAAAATAAAGGGCCAACCAAAAAATTGAATTTTGTTTGAATAAACCAAAAGTATGAGTTATCAGAGTTTGAATTGAGAGTCTACTATAAGAAGGCCCACGAAGGTGAATTAGGGCCTCGAAGATTTGCGCACACAACTTCAGAGGATAACACACCCCGCTGATGGCCAATCCTGACAAACTGGCGGCAGCACGTTGCGAAGGTTCGTGCTTGAGTATTCCGCAGCGACGCGTTTCATGTCTACCGCAGCAGCGTAGGCACCACCTTTTCTAACCTGCACGATAGTGTAAGTTCGTAGCGAATATCGCGGCGCGAAAAACGGTTTTTAATAACCGTACTTTATTACAGTGAAAGCTGATCATCCTAGGACAAAACCCAAAAAATCTACATCACCCCAAAATTCTAATAAGCCGTCATCATATCACCGAGGTTTCCCTGTATTTGCAAAATTCTTGCTGCAGGAAGTTCACATTGTACAAGTGCGGAGTTATCACTTCATCGCCCCTTTTGGACCACAGGTTGTTTACTGGCAGTTTAATAAGGCTTTTTCACATGGAGTAACGCCACATGCTGGCTTCCTCGCCATAGTGGAGCCCCTTTTAAATGACCAAGGAGACGATACAAAACTATTATATTATCAAAAAATTAAAAGTATCGACAGCGATGCTCTGTATAGTCCAAAAAATGGCACAAATGACATGATTAAGCCCGCAGCATGACCCTGCACTGCCCAAAAGAACATAAATTAATTCTGGAAATGAAAGCCAGTTATTTATCTAAAGCAGGTGTGAGTGAATCTTTGTTTTCAAATTGAAAAAAAAAAATGCAATCTCGAACCCATCTTTTTTCCTGTATATTTGAAAATTACATGCACATAGAATGAAACAAACTGTGTTGGGAACAGCCTCTCGTAAGAAACACTCATCGACGTCGCGTAATGGTGATAAAGCACATGTTGCAAGTCCGCGTAGGATGCTTTAGTGTGCAATAGAGCTGTGCATGTCAAGTTTGCCACAGTGCGGTAAAAGGGCACGCGGGTGCTGTGCCGGCTTACGCAGAGGAGCGCAAAGCTTATGTTAAGCTAAGTAAAGCATTTTGAAAGGTCTCAGGCTTTCGGCGGCGGAGTAAAGAGGCTGTATTGCGGATCGAAAAAGGGAGGAAGGGATGTCCGGGGATTCAGTTTGCCGTACGCCTTGAGAATTATTTCGACTACTGTTTATGTCCAGAGTTCAAAGGTAGGCACGTTCGAGGAACTCAAGCGCTAGTCGTCGCGGATCGCTTGAAAGAATGTTTGAGCCGGAAGCGAGAGCCCATGTCATTTGTAATCAACAGGAGTCCTTTTGGCGCCCAGTGGCGTGGCTAGGCTCGCGGAGAGATTCGAGAGAGAGCGAAAAGTGCAAGGCAGCACAAAGAAGGCAAATGTAGAGGAGTGGCAAAAGAAAGCTAAACAGCGGTAGATACACACACGGATGGAAAAGGGAAAAGGCGATGTTTTGAGTGTAAGGGTGCCGACCACATTGCCAGGAATTGCCCCAATAAGGACTCAGGTGCAAGGCAAGGCACTAGGCCAGCAGGACAAGAAAACGGTCCAGTGGTCGCGAGGGTGACGGCTTCTGCATTCGGGTCAGAAATAGCAATGGCAGACAGGTTGTGGCAGCGCAAAGAGCAGAAACAACCCTCACTGGAAACTGTAACGCTTAAGAGCTCAGGTCGATCATTAAACGCCGTGGAGCGGAGGTGAGCGTCATCAGAAAGGCAGTGGTACCTCAGTACGATGGTACGGGTTCGCAGATAAAGTTGACGGGAGCGTTCGGGCAACAGGTAACCGCTGAGTTGACTTACGTGCCGCTCATATCTACTGAAGAAAGTCCTTACGTGATGTCCGAGGCACTGCAGTCGGCCGTGCTTTGTGCAATCACAGATAAGCTGCTAGACGGCACCGACGCGCTGATCACGCCCAATGATTACGCACAGCTTCTAGAGGAAAGAGTTAAACGTGACATAGTGTCAGACGAGTGTTCAGCAGTCGAGGAGACCGAAGCTATAGTAGAGCTGTCAGATGAGGCATGCGAGGAGCAACGGGCGATGGTAGGCGTCATAACCGCGGAGAGCAACAGCGAAGGTTCCGAGCCGGTCAAAAGCAAACGACAGGAGTTTCGTGAGGCTCAGGAAGCAGACCCGGCTTTGCGAGATGCTTGGGCACAGGCAAAGGCCGGAACGCATGGCATGCTCGTTGAAGACGAGCTATTGTATCATCAGGAACACCTCGCGGGTCGCATCTGCAAACAGTTAGTGCTACCATCACACAGGCACAAAGAAGTGCTGAAAATGGCTCACGATTCACCATGGGCAGGTCATTTAGGAGAGCGGAAAACACTACAACGAGTGAAAAGCTCATTTTACTGGCCGCAGATGTCGCGAGATGTAAAGGAGTACTGTAGGTCATGCCATGGATGCCAGGTGAAATCGCCGACGAGGCAGATAGATAGGGTTCTGATAAAGCCCCTGGCCAGGCCCAGCGCGCCGTTTCAGACAGTAAACATGGACTGCATCGGTCCTATGGTACCCCCTTCGGCTAGAGGTCACCGCTGTGCTCTTTGTGTCGTAGACTTACATACCAGATGGCCAGAGGTGGTATGCCTCCGTTCACTAACGGCAAAGGCTACTTGTGACGCGTTACTGCAGATATTTTCTCAACACGGGGTGCCAGAGACAATTTGCTCAGATCAGGGCACCAACTTTACGTCGAGGTTGACACAGGAGATGTTGCAAAGACTTGGGGCAACTCCGAGATTTTCCACGCCCGATCACCCGCAAAGCAACGGCTTAGTCGAGTGCTGGAACGGCACGTTCAAAAGAATGCTTTCTCACATAGTCAGCGAACATGGACGCGAGTGGGATAGGATGATTCCGTTTTTGTTATGGGCATATCGTGAGGTCCCACATGCGACCACAGGGCGGTCACCGTTCGAGCTCATGTACGGGCGGGTGCCGAACGGGCTCCTATCCATTCTCAAAAGGACTTGGTCAGGAGACTGGGAAGTGCCGGATTCATTGGGTATGCCAGCAGCGAAATATCTTGCGAAGCTCCGAAGTAGTTTGGAAGAAGCTAGCGAAGGAGCCGCCCGACAGAGCGAAGTCACTCAGAAGGAGTACGTAGGACGCTATAACTTGAGGGCTACAGACAAACAGTTTGTCACAGGGGACCAAGTACTATGGCTCGAGAAG